AAAAAAAAATCAAAAGCCATACCTCTTTCACTTACAACTGTTTCTAGTTCAGTGTATTTCACAACACTTATTCATGAGCAAGGCTTTACATTCTTCTTTATGAGACAAGCAAATATTCTCCCCATTGTACAGATAAGGTACCTTCTGGCAGAACTAGGTTTCTAATATAGCAGACCCAAATCTCAGCTGCATTGCCTTTCAGAAAGAATCATCCAGATTTGTTTGCTTATCTGTAACCACCAGGTCCTACAGCCTTCTAGAACCAGGAAAGACCCAACCATACCCATCTCCCCGAGTCTGGTGGTCTACCCTCTGGCCCCTTATTCCTGGTAGCCTACTTATACTCAGGGCTTGTCTTACACCCATACCTTTACCATCAACCTCTTCCCCCCGACTCTCCCTAACACCTGGACTGATCCTTCTCTTGTTTATTGATCCCCCCCTTCTCTCCTTTCTTGCCCTCTAAAACCACCCCTCCACTAGCTCTGGGCAGCTTCAGCTCCCTCCCTCTACCTATTTTCTTGGCCCCAGAAACCTCAATCCTTATCAGCCCCTCCCAGCACAGTGGATTTATCACATTCTTTGGGCCTTACATGAATCTGTGTAAACAATAAAACCAATGAGAGTTTTACTCCATTATTCCTCAGCTCCTAAAACCAACTGCCTCAAAGTCTTTCGTCTCAGGAGACCCTGAAGCCCAAGCCCTTTCCTGCAAGACCCTGCTGCAACCTCTAAGACCTCCCCTCAAACCCTGAAATTCCAAAATTTACTTTCTTCTTCCACCCAAGGCTCTGCCAGTCCCACAGTCTCTCCTGCTTTCTGGTGCCCTGTGGTCTAACCTAATCATTGCCTCCTGCCAGTCCACCTGAAGCCCCTGTGCTCTTGCCCTTTATGTCTCTTCCATGCAAACTTTTCCAAAACATCTGTCTTGCATGTCCTGGTGGGATTTGTGTGGAAGAAGCATCAAAGGAATGAATGGTATGTCAATTTCCTAGGGCTCTGGTTCTGCCAGCAGCGGCTCCCTGCAACCTTTGTGGTGGATTGGTCATTTGCACAGTCAACACCCAGCTCTGGGGTGGGACAATTCAGATGAGGGAAGTTTTAACAAGTTCTCGGATTTGAAATGTTTAATCAAGAGAGCAAGAGCCTGACTACTTGCTGCCTCAAAATGGGGCCCTGAGCTTTGGGGGTTAGGTGCTTGTTATTGAGACTGAACAGATATAATGGACCCTAGTGGTCTTGGAAGCCCAGCAAACATCACATTTTCTCTTGCAGGTATTAACAATAGGAAGAGAGCAGCCCTGGTGTCCGGTTATTTCCAACCCGGTTCATTAGCCCCATTGTTAACTGCATTCACCTTTATTTAGCCAATATGTGGTTTCTGCAGGCCCCCACAAACCCTTTGCTCTAGCCTAGTCTCTATCTCCCTGGGCCAGGACTAGCCCAGACTCCAACCCAGTCCCATACCTTTCCACCTGCCAAAGCCCTAGCATGGGATGTGATTTGTGCCAAAGATCCAAAGTGAGAGGCACAAAATAGTTATTGATGCAGATGTCAAACATGCTGGAGTGTTCCTTCCTCTGCATAACTCACTTTCTGGAACCTCTATTCTGTGATTCTTCATTTCTCATCCAATAACACTCAGCAGTAATGGAAGGGGAGGGAGAAAATGTGTTTTCTCTCCCATTCTCTTCCCATGTCACTCAGCTGCCATTTCTGCAGAACTCCCTGTAGAGTCCTGTAGAGTAGTGCAGTGACCAGCCCCATCTCCCAGCTACCTGGCACCCTCCTCAGTCCCTCCAATTAAACCCAGCCCAATCTACCTTCAAACCCTGGTAGCCCCTATTTTCAGGTGTTGGCTGCTCACCCAGAACTTCAAATCCATGCCCTATGAGTTCACTGTTACTAAATACAGAAGAGTTATTCCAAAGAGAGTGAATGTGGGAGAGGAACATTAGGGGTGCATCTAGACTGGCAAGATTTTGCGCAAAAGCAGTTGCTTTTGCACAAAAACTTCCCAGCTGTCTACACTGGCCGCTTGAATTTGCACAAGAGCACTGACTTTGTAATGTACAAAATCAGTGCTTCTTGCACAAATACTTTCACGCTCCCGCTCAGGGATAAGCCCTCTTGCGCAAGAATACTTGCGCAAGAGGGCCAGTGTAGACAGGCACCTTAATTTTTTGCACAAGAAAGCCCGATGGCTAAAATGGCCATCGGAGCTTTCTTGCGCAAAAGCGCATCTAGATTAGCATGGATGCTTTTGTGCAAAAGCACTTTTTGCGCAAAAGCATCCTTGCCAATCTAGACGCTCTTTTGCGGAAATACTTTTAACGGAAAAACTTTTCCGTTAAAAGGATTTCCGCAAAATCATGCCAGTCTAGACCTAGCCAAAGAGCTGTCGAATTAGCCCCCTTCTCCCTTAGGCAACTGCGTAGCCAGTTTCCTTCACCTAGAAGTTCTGCTGGCTGTCAGAATCACCTCTCCTCAGCAGCCTAGCTGGCTCCATTCTCCTTAGCACCTACACCCACTGACATTCTAACAGTGTTCTCATGCTCCTGTCTCTTTGTAACATTTTGGTTTTATTTGCAAGGCTGGGTTCACAGGCCAGGGATGCTGGTAAATCCAGCCAGCTGGATCAGTGATTAACATGGGAGCTGGAAAACACACAAAGAGAAACCCCTGAGCAGTTCTGTTATGCAGATCACTACACACACAGGCTTCCAGCATATAAACAAGTAGTTAGTGTTTTTCTGTGCTTGGGGCTGCCTGTTCCTTAGCCGAGGTCAGTGGGAGACACCTTTGCCCTCTGTTACTTGGTTCTGAGGAGGCTGGGATTTTTTGCTATAGGTCATCCAGACGTGGTTTAGCTGTTGTCACCAGTTGATTTTCTGTCTTTAATGTGCCTGCAGTAGTCTATTCTTCCTCAAACAAGTCCTGGGGCAGGGAGCACAGACTCCAACTAAGCTCAGTTTCTCATGCTGGGGTCTTGGCCATGCTGTAAGTCAGGCCTGTCAGCTCTAAGCTAGCAATACATGCGTTTCTGTGCAGAAAATGGGTCCAGTTTTCAATAGACATTTTAATTCTCCCTGGTGTTTTCAAAATGGGGGAGGAATGTCTGCAGGGCATAGAGCTGGGTTCTTGTTAAATGAGAGTATTTGTAGCACCTAGTCACTCATTGACTCGAGCATTATTCAGGGCAGCACAGAGATGAGCTATTGTTTTTGGACTGGGCTATAGAATGTCATATAATTGCCCAATCTTCTGTGTCACTGCTAGAGCCAGCTTCTGTTCTGTGTGGGTCAGGCTACTGCTGGGCTAATTCTGGGGTAACTTTTCTAACTCTGGATTTGGACTGAGTTGATCCTTATCGCTCAGCCCATCTCTAAAGAATAGATTTTGTTCTTTGCCTTTTCCAGGGCTCGGTCCAGTAAGGTGCTGACATCCCTCCACTCCCATGGAAGTCTATGGGAGCTAATGACGCTGCACATCTGTTCTTGTGATTGGCATTCTCCCCTGTTACTTGTGTATAGTTCTGCAGGGAAGCGTTTGCAGCAAGCTAGGGAGAGTTTGCAGAATGCACCAAAAGCTGGATCAGTGCAGCAACCCTAGAGCATTAGACAGAGGAGAGAGCGCTCCTCTGTGTATAGCTCTGGTGGGATATTATGTGCACGTTCAGGTACCTCTGAGTTAGAGGGAGTTCAGAGAAGAGCAACAAAAAGGCCCAGGGTCTAGAGTAAATGAATTAATGGGAAAGATGAAATGATGTAACTCTGTGTAGCTGGATTAAGTAGAGGGAATGGATAGCTAACGTCAGAGGGGTTAAGCCTCAAGGAAGGAGAGGAACTAATTAGGATGATGCCAGGTAACAGGATGAAATGCAAGAAGAGAAAATGTTGGCTGAATTTTAGGAAAACCTTGCTCAGAGAGCTAGTTCTGGGGGAAACTTGTCCCTCCACAGGAAAGTGGGCAAGGAAGGGAGAGGCCCCCTTTTAGACCAGACAATGAACTGGCCCATGTATAAGAGGGACAGTCCTGTCCTGGGATAATAGAGATGGGACCAAAATGGCTTTCTCAACTCTGCTTCTGATTTCTGTGACATGCTCAGGGCTTCTCCACCCTTAAGCTCCCTGCCCTCCTCACTCAAGGTACCTTCTCCCCCATCCCTCTTTTGTTCAGGGTTCCTGCCATGGACTAATTTGACCTTGGTCCTGGGCTCCGTTTCCTGCTCTAGGGGTGACTATAATGCACACAGCTCTGCTCCCTGCTGCTGAACAGGAGGGGAAGATGCCAGCGTATCCCAGATCATGTTCTATGATGACTGGAAAGATCCTGGCAGCAGGTGGTGAGGGAGGGAGAGTTCTGGGAACTGCCAAAGATTCAAAGT